TCAGCAGGACAGTAACACTTCATCAGGAGGACAGCTTATTACACTGCTATTAACGTGCTGCATTTACGATACCCACATCTGAAGTCCAGAAGCAAACACTTCTTTAAAGGACAGAACATGAGTACGACAGCACGAAGCTATATGCTGTAGCACCATAAATTCTGTAAAAGGTGTGTGGAATTCTATATTTCTCTTTCAAGCTTCACAGGATGCACATACTGCCTAAAGGCTAACTAGTTCTAAGATGCATGAAATAATACAACATATCCCTATTTCAAACAAAAATAACTTTACACATTTCCTGGTCTAGCATCAGGAACATATCAGAGTTTTCATTTTTAAGCTATATAAAAAGAAACACTCTTTAATTAGGCTTTCACTCTTGCACATACTAGGCAAAGTGAAAAATACCGTGTTTTCAATGACGCCATAGCTGACTGTGTAATGAAAAAAAGATTACACTGAAAAAATAGGAGGAAGCTCATAAATGCGATCTGTAGCAACAAAAGGAATTCTTAAGGGCCATCTACAGAGTTGCACACAGCATTTGTCAACAGGCAATTCCTGACAAATTCTGCGGCATTCCAAGGTATTGTTAATCTTGTACTTACGCTTCATACTGTTTGATTTCAAAGTCTCATGAATATCCAGAGCAGCACTTCCCAGAAGGACATCAGATTTTAATGTTTGATGGCTCCAGACTCGAAAGTTTAATTTACTTACAGGAGTGACAATTCTGAAAAGAAAAAGTTGACCACTGTGTAAGGGCATTTGTTCGCAGGGGAAGTGGGTGAAATGAGCAATCTACTTCAACTGTCACTTAAAATTATTTAAAAACAAAGAAAAAGTGGTGGTAACATCAAACCATTTCTAATTATCACATTCTAGATGCAGTCACGTTTGTAAGACTGTTCATAGACTGAGTGCATTTTTTTAATATTACTATTTTAAGGGAAATATCTATAGAAAAACTACCAGCTCGCAATTAGCATCTGATTGTAACCAGGATTAGAAAAAAAGACTGATTCTTGCAGGTTCACATTTCATGGGTGTTCAGCATTTGCGTACCTTGATGTGAGAATTTTTCACAGAGAGGGAAGACCATAAATTTGCTTTCTGAAGAGGTTATCAGAAAATTTTAGAACATCCCATAAAAGAGGAAGTACTTGGAAATAATAAAAAATTATTTCAAGTATTTTTAGAAGATTACTGTTCCCCTAATAAGCTGGCACATACTTGCATCATATTATGACAAGAAGCAGGAATATATTCAATACTGGTTAACATTTTACTAGCATACTTCTGGCTTCACAATGCATTTACTGAGAACAGAACACACTACACCTTCCATGGCTTAACAATTCAAAACCTTCCCTCACCATTTCCAGGAGTAGGATATGTTACTTCTACAGTGTGCTAATTTGATTATGTCCTTGGAGAATTGCTTCCAGGTTTACTACCAGAAAAGTCCCTTATGGATCCAATTATCACAAGTTTCTCTTCATTTCAAATCAAGTAATTCAAAGAAGAATTTGACCACTTATTTCTAACCCCCTTTCATTTCCCTGGGGCTTTTCTTAAATTTTTACTTGTTTTAGTAACACAAAAATCTGAACTTCATTCAAAGCATGGCGCTATAACCTGGAAATATGCCTTCCAGAGAGTTAGGCACAGTACAAACAGTGGTGAGGTAGGCCTCTACACAGTCCAAACAAGAGACAAAGTTCCCTCTGAAAAATCTTGTGGGCTGGTAAGGTCATAAAACCGCAATACTGTAGCCTCTGCCAAACACACAGTTTGAATTTGTCAACCTGTGGTAAAGAAGGTCCATCTCTGCTCCTACAAAAGCCATTGGCAGAGTCACTCCCTAAACCTGAAAGCTCTTGATTAAGGATTACCTTTGCGGTAAGACCTTCCCCACTCCCAGATCGATTCCAACAGTTATGTACTGGGAGAGCCCTTTACTGGAGAAGAAACACATGCAAACAGAAATATTTTCTGCCACAGCAGTTACTTTGTCTTCCTCCCTCTAGCTCCAAAACAAGCTGAATCAAACCATGCTTATTTCAAAACTGCTAAATCTCACCAAACACTTTGCAGCAAGATGATGGCAGCTGATATAGTGTATGTGATCAAGCAAATCTTGGAGAATAAAGGAACTCTCCCGGTGATAAGGAAAACCTAGAAGCCTAGATTTTTCTTTTTTCTTCTTAAAAGTATTCTGACAACAGCAGAAAGATGAGCATCACAAAATAGTTGATATTACAATTAAGACTGGACTCACAAAACTTCCCCCCCAAGAAAGTTGCTCATAGTGGTAAAATATTCACCTACCCCTCATGCTCCCTTGAGTTTTGAGGAGTCTTACAACAGAGAAACAAATTTACATCCGTATCAGTTGCTGACATGGTAGGAACACATTTCTGGTTTTTTGGTTTTGTTTTGTTTTTTTGTTTTTTTTTTTAAATACCCAATAGCTAAAATTCAAAATAATTTTTAATACTAATACTCTTTTTCTTTAAGGAACATTCTAACATTTATATATTTTTAAATTATTTTAATTGTGAGAAACAGGTATTACAAATGACTGCTTATTATCTCAGTGGATAATTTCCTTGTATATGGCTTATAAGTCTAGACTTTCAGAGTCGGGCAACCCCTTCAGAATATGCAGGTCCACCTAACGGATCTGCAGAAGCTGTTACACTTTTCCTTTTTATTCTGAATCTGAATGTAAGAAGCTGTGTGAAAATATTTCCTAAAAACCAATTAACTTACTCCACTAACTTCCATGTAGCATTAATGTAATCTTCAATGAGGTTGATATGCATTGGGTGTCTGTTCAGCGTTTACTGAACAAGAGTAAAAATTGCCTACATATTATTGTGTGGACTTGCAGTGTAAGCTACAAAGATTTCAATTAAAAAAAAACAGAAAAGAAACAAAGGCAGGCTTTAAAAGCTAAAAGAAAATTCTGCTCTTGCACATTGATATGCATGTAAAGCACAAGGTTTTCTTTTTCTTAAAATAATTCTTTGCAGTGGAAAGTAAGGTAAATACTAGTAACTAGAAATTCATAATAATCTGAATTACAAGACAAGAACAGGCACAAACAAGGTTTTCATCAGGCAGGAATGTTCAAGGTGCCTCAAGAATAGTAATCTAGAATTTAAGCATAAGCAAATGTGCAAGCACAAGACTGACTTTCATCTCAGTGTTCCATGTGACACATTCTTAAGAGAAAACTAAATTTTATAGAAGCTGCAGATCATTTTTTCTGTGCTTTATACTTCCTATCATCTCACAACACAAATACTTAGCCAAGCAAACATCAACAGCTGCGTTCATCTTGAATCTAATGTTAGTTTTGTACTCAGAAGGCATAAATTAATCAGGAATTTTATATTTGTGACTGAATTTAGACGTGCACAAGACAGAGCTAACTACCTGTGCTATGGCACGGTACACAACAAAGTGGTACACAAAGAACAGCTATACTTTTCAGCCATCATATTTCTGAAACACTGTAACCTTCAATGTGACAACAAAAACATGCATTGGACTGTCAGTTTTAATATCAAGTTACCTTACTGTCCTCACTACTCACAGAATTAAAGCTCCTTTGATATGCCACATACATTAATACAGAATACATTCCTTCATAAGCACCGCCTCCTTTCCATAGGACATAATGCAATAGTTTGTAAATGTATATTCCAGACTGTAGTATATTTGCTCCAAAAATTACACAAATATCTTCATATCATGTAAAATTGAACGCCTTGCTTAAAATAAAAATACAATCCTTAATTAACCACTGTCAATTGCATTAATTTAGCTCAAATAAATTGAAAACCAAACCCATCAAACCTACACTGTAAGATCCTGTTTCCACTTTGGACTATTTGTATTGTTACATTTTTCTGTCTTCTTTGACTGTCCATCTACTGAGACTTCCACATAAGGGCTAGGTCCAAACCATTTATTTTTTTCTTTTAGTTTTGCTGAAATAACTGTTAAGAAAGAGAAAAATAATCATTTAGTCAATAAGATTTCAATTGCAAATAATATTTTTCAGTTGTGTGCTTCAGTATTCAAGTATCAGGTCATTGATGCCTGACAATTACACTCAAGAAAAAAATACATTAGACAAAAATGCTCTTGTATTCCAGTTCATTTTATACAATGCTATAGCTCCCACAAATACCCAAAAGATGGAACAGTTCTTCTGTAACATCAGACACTATGATTAATAACAATCAGTGTAAGATCCACAAAAGCGCTTAGGTATTGAAAATAGAAAATATCCTGTATAACCTTCTCCTGTCTACCACCAGCCAAGACAATTCCTGGAGTTTATTACACTTGCTTGTTAAAAAAGCTCAAAGCCTCCATTTTGCCAAAGAAGCATGTGTGTGCACAAGTCTACCCTGGAGATTTGACTCTTACATTAGGAGTGTTCTTGGATTCCTTGGCAACACTAAACTCACAATACAGTACTTGGGACCAATATATTATCACTTCCAATCGGCCAGTGAACTCCACTCTGTTCTAACAAAAAACAATTTGGTCTTCTGTGTTTTCGTCACCCACCTCAGCTGCACTACATCCTTAAAAAAGATGACTAATTCAAGTCCATATGGCTAATCTACCTAGATTCCCTTTATAGTCTATGCTCCTTTAGAGATTTAGAGAAGTAGCTTAGTATAAACTGCTCTGAACTGGTCCCAAAGGAAACCCTTTCTCTGTATATTACAGACATCTTACAAAAATTAACTTCAGTTAGCTAACACTGATTTTCACAAATAGGTCCCCTTCCCTTCTTATCTCCAGTACTTCTATACTACAGCATCTCATGTCTCAACATGACTCGCTGTCTCAAAGGCATCAAGACCTACTTTGAGGCACCACAAATCAGCAGTCTTGTACCTACTCTCAAGGTTCTTTCTTAGCCAGACAACCTGAAAGTTCATTTAAAATTAATGAGGACAGCAGAACAGGGAGGTGAGGGTACGGCAGGTGGGGGGTGCTGTTTACAGAAACGTCTACAAAAATGTAATGCATACTTGCACAGGAAATAGCTTGCTTGCAGACTGTAGCTAAACTTCTACAGAAATTAAGAATTGTTCAAACATCTGAACATTCTCAATTCTAAACACTGAGACATTTCTTCAACTTCACTTTATGCAAGTCACAGACCTTTAATGGAGCAAGCCTTAGACAGCAACAACTTTGTGAAACTTCCGCATATACCCACAGTTCTTTCACACTAAGGGTGCAAAATTTACCCTTGATGCTTCTAAACATAGACCTGCATACATCCACAGATCTCCCATTCCCAGATTTCAGCTTTCATGCTGCAGTAAAATTTGTCAGAGAGCAAAAGTGAGGAAAACTTGGTAATTAAGTTTCAACAGCTGCTTTGTTGGTGGGGCACTAAAAAAAGCAAAGCACATCAGGTAAATCCATTCCTATGCAATCTACAGGTTCTCAATTACAGTAATATTCTCACCAACATTTTTATTAAAGCTCCTTTACAATGGTGGCCATAAAAACATGTATCAAGGGAGAAGCAGTAAGTCAAATTTAATGAACAGTAGTTCAGATTCACTTAGCCTGAGATGTAAAGAGATTGTTAGGAGAAAGTGTTAGATTTGGAATTATATCAAGCGTTAGCAACTGAAAGCAGTATTGTATTACATTATTACATTTCAAAGAGGACTGTTCTGTACAATTTACTTAACAGCATTCAAAAAGAAATATTCCTTCCTTTTTTACACAAAAATGTATCATTTCACAATGCATTTTAGATAAAATCCTGAATAAAATAGCTATATTTCTGCCAAGTAGTGATGGCATAACACCATCGATTTTATTGTGTGACTTCTCTTCCTACAACTCAAAACTTTCTGAAATGCAACATACTAGTAACTTCTGTTTCATTGTGAGAAAAACACTTTTACATTTCTAACCAGAAAAGATACATCCTTTCAAAAGGCTTACCAGTGATTTGAAGCTGTGATTTCATGGAAAACCCACTGGATAGTCCTGATTTGGACCCACTGCCAGCCATAATATGGGCTGGATCTTGAATCTGGATGAAGAGACAATGTAAAAAATCAAATCATCTGTTTTTTGACATGTAGATACATTATACTGCAAACAAACCCACCACACTTGTTTTCTTTCTAGTTCCTCCCCATTTCCCCAAAGCACAGAAAATAGCTTACAAAGGGCTTACTCTCTATTATTACATGATCTGTAAATATTCACGTCCTAGGCAAAAGAGGTCTTTTGATTTTGTCCCTTCAATTTGCCAATTAACTGAGAGCGAATGATGTTCTAATTGCAAAATTTGCTGTACCTCTTATGTCTGAAAATATCTGCCTATTTTGATGTCGTAAGTCCTAGGTTAGAAGTTTATCTTCCCATGTCAAGTATTACTTGGTTTAAAAAACAAAACTAAAAACAAACCACAATCCACAAGCATTGGAAAAAGACTGAAAATTAATTACTAAATTAAGAAGTCATTTTCAAATTTAGAGAAACCTGCTTCCATACGTCTTTGGTTTTCACTTGGTCAGATCAAGTCTACAAACAGGGGCTGTAATTCTACAAAGCACTTCACTAAAAGAGGAAATATATCGCTTCTGAAAGAGGGTAAGACAACCTTCATTGACAGCCCAACCTTCCCTCTTACCACATGCTAAGCCTCACACCCGTGCTAGCCTGATCCTCTCAGCACCAAAGCAAGCAGGTATTCCTGCTAGTCTTTGAACTTAATTCAATTCAGTATTGGGGGGGGAGGAGAGGGAGAAAGTGGACAATATGCATCACATAGCTTCAATATTAACAGACAGAAATGAAAGTGTGCTATTATATTAAAAATAGACATAACTTTGGAAAGATCCAGATATCCTTATCTCCTATTAATTTTTAAAACACATTTTCAGCTCAACATCCCTTACTAACTAAACTAGATATAAACCTCTATAGCAGATTACCCACTGGAAAATGAATGGGTTATTGAAGACTCCCAATTACCAGCTAGATACAACTTCCAGACTACTTAGTGCATCCCTCTCCTGCCATGTTCCCTCCATTGTGCCATTTCCTCACTGTCTTCTGTGGTCTTAACCTACTGCAAAAGCATTCATCCACCTACACGCCTGCGCAAATCTCCCAGCCCACTGCTGCACATCCCTGGCCAGCCACCGAATCTGAATCCCAAAGCAGATCAACTATCACGTGCCAGCTCTCAGGTCATTTTCTCCATACAACATTCTTTCCAACAAGGAAAGTAACATGTTAGCTTAAGCTGCCGATTCCTGTATTTTGAGTACAAAAGGCTATAGGTATGAACTGGTAACGGCACAAGCAGTCTAAACAAGTACATGTCTTATCCTCTGCATGCCATGCAAAACAGAATTTGTAAAAGGAGACCAGATCTGAATATTGCCACTTTCTTTTTAGAGGCTGCAGTCTGAAGCAGAAGTCTGTATACTGTGACAATTACTGTGCAATTGATAATTCCACAGGTATTTCAAAAGTGGTAAAATTGTAAGTTCTTGTATCCTACTGCTTGCTGATGCTAGTGTTAACTACTGGAGAACATGACACCACCAAAAAAGTACTAATGACTTGCTTAAACAGTATATAGTAATGTTATTAGTGGAGTTCAGTACTATTAATTACTACATCCCAGCTGTGAATCACACAAATCTAAATCCTGCTAGAGTGAAAATGCTTTTAATTTAAGTATTTCAAAAGTAGTCTACATTCAAAAGATTTAGAGGACAATTCTTAATTCTGATCCTGTGATTAGTTCTACCAAACTCACTAGGTATCCTTTATGCTTTAAGAAAGCAGTTGAATAGCATCTAGCCCAATACAGACATACTGGATAGCCTAAAGGAGTTAGGCTTTAGTTAGCATTTACAGAAGAGCTGCTGTTTTCCACCTGGAGAAGTAAAGCTGCACATAATACTAATGCAATTAGGTGATAATTTTCAACTGAAGTCGTACAGTAAGCACATATGGCATATAACATTCATTCAGAAGCACATGCTAAAGTTAACTTTAATTTCTAAGCCTGCAAAATAAACTCATTAACGATTTTATTAATATTTGATAATTTTCATGGCAAATATGCAGAAAAAATTCTAGCTTAATCACAACTGAAATAACTGTCTGCAAACATTTGTTGAGTTAGCACGTGCAGGTCCAAGCGTGTATGTAGTGAGACAGTTTTCACTGACTGAAGTAAAATTTCAAGAATCTATTGCCTCCCAATACTTCTTAAAAAAAGAAACTACACTACGCATTGTTTAGGTGTCTCAGCTACCATCAAGTTTCTAATTATTTTTGAACAATAAAACTGAAGAGTCTTATTTTATTGCACGCTTGCTAAAATCCAGAGGCTCTTCACTTAAAGCGAGCTCTTTAATAGTTAGCCAGGAAAGAGAACGAGAGTTCCAGAGGAAGAAGCAGCAATTTACCTGTGCCCTGCAATTCAATATCCCTATTTCTCTTTTCATGTTTTTGAATACCTTCGCCCCAATGCCTCTTCTGCTCCCCTTAAGTGCCAGCTGGAAAAGACTCAGCAAGCAGAATAGCTGGCTCCAAGCCACGCATCTAGCAAGGAATAATTGCTTTTCTCTCAGTTGGGCATTAATTTAACTCTCTTCCCTACCATGCATGTATATACTCTATCCAGATTTTTCATTACTCACAGAAATTTAATCGAGTTTGATACCTCCATCAATTTTTAACTGGAATGGATCAGCAATTAATAAAGTTTGTAGTGCAACACGCTGGAAAAGGGGAAGAAGAGAGCAGAACTGGATTGGCAGGTGGAATTGTATATACCTTGTTTTCTTGGGAAACAAAGCTAAATAAATTAATTACTCAAATAAGAATCCATAATGATTAATGAATTACACTTTGAAGAAGCACAAAGAGATTGCAAAAGACAATTACCCCACAAGTCACAAACATCCAGGTGATTTCTATATTTACACTTAATTTTTAGCATTTAACTCCTCTTTGTTTATATAACACACACACAAATTAAATCTGGTAAGGAACTACTGTATTAACAGCTATTTTTAATGGGAACACTGCATATGATTTCAACTCAAAATCAGCCTAGGGCTACTTAAAAACTTAACCACAATGTAAGACAACATACAGCCTTCAATCATTATTAATATTAATCATTAGCATATTGCCATTTAGTTTTATTACAATAGAAACAATATTTAGGATTCTGTGAAAAGCAAATATCCTTAAGACAAACAGTTCTGTCAGCAACTGGATGTGAAGAGGCTATCATGTGTGAACACCAATAAGCATTTTAACTGTAGTAGACCTTTTGACCTCTTGCCAGTGGAAAGGAGTATAATGACTGCTTTCAAATTATGTTATAAATAATCATTTTATGAACAAAAATATAATTTCAGAAATAATTATAAAATAGGTATATGTCTGCTTTATAAATTCACTGTAATGCAACAAGGACTTCCACAAGTTGAAACTCATTCCAAACAACTGAAAATGCATACTCAAGTTTTTTTCTGCAGTAGAAAATTACATACATCTTCTTAAATATTTAGGGATTTGGTTTAGTTTTGGTTTAAATTATAGGAAGCCCATACTGCCATTTTTTCCCTCAGATGCTGCTACCCACTTCCAAGAAACCTACCAGAATTTGAAATTTAGGAATATTAGTTGAAAGGTTTGAAAGCTGTGACAGAGAGAGCAGGCCAGCTCTGTATCAGACACTGAAAGCATAATCACATAAGTATAATTTTCTAAGAAATGAACAAGACAAATTATTTGGCATATAAAATGATCGTATAGAATAATACAGTATTAATATCTTCTTGTAATTAGAAATAAACCATTCAAATGCTTGCCTGAATTTCTTTGGTGGCTCCATAGCTACTGCCAGGTAGGTTGGTTTGTTTTTATAACATGCTACCATAATGTGTAGATTATTAGATAAATTATGCTCAGCTTCATAATTGCATATACCATTGTTTGTACTCAGGCAGGTTTGAACAAACACTGCTTAAAATAAATCTGCCTCACAGTAGGAAACTCGGTCCACGCATCCTTTTGGGATTCAGTTCTTTGAATTCCACTAAAGTGCTTTCTCAGAAACCTCCCCTACAGCACGACCTGATGCTGTTAAGCCAAACTGCATCATCTTCAGTGGCACTTTAATCCCAGACAGCAAACTTCATCACCAGATTATTTTTTTTTTTGTCTGAGTGGTGTGGAAGAAAGAAGAAATTGTAGAGCAGCGCAGCCCAGATGCTGCAAACACTCTCAGAAAAAGGAAGACAGAAAGGGAGCCTCCTCGTTTATTTTTATTCTAAGAAATCATGAGAAAGAGTGGGGAGAAAAGCAGCTTTGAGTGCTTCTTGGTTAAAGCAAAGTAAGGGAAGAGGTGGGAAGGAGCTTCTTATCCCACAAAATCAGGAGTATGAACAGAAGAAAAATGCTATCAGAGGCTTGAGAGATTTTCAGAGTGACACACCAATTTAACTTATGGGAACTTTATTCAGCAATGGGATTCATATGTTAAAGAACTGACTTATTGAAGAAGGTAATTTTGTTTCATATTTATTGGAAAGAATAGAAGACACAACTAGCTCAGAATGAAATCCTGTGACTGTATTATAAATGCATAGCTTTGAAAATATGTTGGCACATGCTCTTTATAATTTAAAAAATACTGAAATAATTGGACATTGTTGGCTGCTGTAAGCCTTATGTTGAGTGATTAATTTTCAGAACAGGCTAAACTGCTCTTCACAGGTGTACCAATTCAAAGTGCTATTTGCATTTCAATAATCCAGTAAAAAAAAAAAATCACATAGTGAAAAAATGTCTTTAACATACCTAGTAATTTTAACAATGGTTTTGAAAACCTCACTGCATAACACAGGAACACAGACTTTTGGAAAACGTGTAAAATATACAAAGTTGTGTTTAAAAAACTGCATGTAAAATGTTACATATCCCCTTTACAACAGTTAATTTTTTTATCAACAGGTATGTGAGCTACAAACAATTAAGAAGAGAT